CATTAGCAAAGAAAACAATGATTCCAGGTGAAATAATATATTTATCTACCATACTGCAGTGGTTTTATTAGTAAACTTTTCTATATATCCAAAATTCATTTATAGAAATATTTAATAAGTTGAATAAATAAAACAAATATAATCATCTTCTATTAGACATGGGAAATTAAATTTTTTTTTAAATTTCAAGAGTAGTGTTGAAATTCATATTCTCTCTTAGAGTGATTTTGACCCCCCCCCCCCTTCATGTAGGTAATTGAAGTGGCTAGGGCATCCAGGCTACATGGTCTGATGTATCAGCTGCAAGCCAAGTAATACTGATCTTGATCAGTAGCATGAAACAACTGGTTCTGTGTTAATAACTTTTTGTTTTTGTTTATATTGTGAAATATGCATAAAAAACTGAGGGTAATCAGAAGTATATGTTTGTAAAATAGGCATAAACACACACACACAACCTCAGTCTCAAAGATAATGTGTAGAACACTAGTAAGCACATAACACACACATATTTGTTTATTATGTGTATTTGTATGTTTTTGTCAGAAGTATTGCATTATTTATTTGTCTGTGTATCAATCTATCTGTCTGTCTTTCTAAATGATTTATATTGATCATTGTCACTGTTATTATTATTCATCCATGCTTTCAGATCTCAGCCAAATATTACTCAAGTAAGATGTATGTCTAGAGTGAAGAAGAGGCACACAGTTCCACCCTTTTGGCACCCAAAAGTAACAAGAACGGTAAGGAGATAAAGGGCATTTTACCTAAGCAAAATACAAAATTATTTTACAGATTGAAATATAGAGCTTTTGTTTGTGGATTCTTGTTCCAGTATGATATGGAATTCAAGATTGAATATTATACTTTAGAAAATTATATTTTAATGAAAGAAAGACAAAAAATAGTGAGATAAGTAATCAGAATTTAAATATCTAGATATCTTGTATATGCTGTGGGAAGTACCAGCTGACAAAAGAATGATCTCCAGTATTTATTATCTATATAAATTTTTAATGCTTTTTAGTTGTTATTGATTAACCCATTCGCACCGGGTAAAAATGAACAAAAAATGGGGAAAATGCTGAGCTCATTTTTTATGAAATTTCTCTACTCTAGATGGCTCTGCCTTACCTGATTTTACCTTCACTTGAATTGGCGGGAAAATGTATTTTTACTAGTGTTACGAATATCGATAGTTATTTTTATTATAAACATTATAATTACTATAATGTTATAAACATTAGTAACAACAAAATAAGATAATGCAAAATAATTTCGTAAATTAAAGAAAAGGGTAAACAGGCGAGACAGGCAGTACAGGCACAAGTGTAGCCATCTATGTGAGAAAACAATTAAACAAGTAAACTCACAGTGAGCCCGTCACGTATACGTGACGCCCGGCGCGAATGGGTTAATACTCTTCCACATGTTATCAGTGTCTGTGGTAATTTGCTTATTTTCATAAACAATTTGTTCTTAGGTATATTCATTATTTTTTATGGTTATTTAACCCAAAACTGATGGGCATGGCATGTATGTACATGTACATACATACCATGCCTACTGTAAGTTATTTTATTAATTGATCTTACATATAGATGGCTCCACTTGTATTAAGTCACCAATGAGCCAATTATGAGTACAACCAGTCTCACGTGTTCACCCTTTTCATTGATTTTTAATATTATTTTGTTATATTATATTGCAGTTACTAATGTCAATAACATTATAGTAATTATCATGACTATAATAAAATTAACACCATTGATATTCATAGCATTAGTAAAGAAAAAAGTTTTCAAGGAAGGTGAAATCAGGTATTGAGAAGTATAAGAAATGCAGGTTTCATAATTACTTGAAAGGTGATATTTTTTCTAATTTACAACAGCTTTACCCTGAAGAAGTAACCCCTGAAAACCAAGCATTTGTAAGTGAAGTCATATCAGAAAAGTTATCCTCGCCTCTCCGAGCTGAGCCATGGGAACGAGGCCAGTTTACCAAGAACTCCATCCGATGTGGGCTGATTGCAAGAAAGATTGGTATATACCCCATGTGGACTAAAGATGGAACCAGGCTTTTAACCACTTTGCTGCAGGTAAGTGGATATGAACTGGGTGAACCATTCAGGCAAAAGGGTGCTCCAGTATCTTTTTTTTTTTTTTTTTTTTTCCATTCTTATACCTCAGTTCTTTAATAAACATGTCTTATTTTCACAAATTTTATTGCTGTCACTACATTAAGGTGTTTCCATGTCACAGGCTACAGACAACCATGTCGTCAATTACATTCCCCCCGAGGACTTGGCTGAGAAGAGCTTTCGGCCTCTAAAGTCATCAAGGCTTGGTGCTCTTGTTGTTGGCACTCAGTCTGTCGATCCACGAGAGGTAAGTTCCATATCTAGTGCTTTAGGTATGTTAGTAGTAATGATATAATTAGCTACTGCTACTGTTGCAAGGGACAGAAATGGTAATGGTGGTGGTAGTAATAATAGTAGATGCAGTAGTCTTAGCAATATTAGATGGAATAGTAATGATAATTGTTGTAGTACTATAATAGAAGAGTAGCACTTTTAGTAGCTATATTGCATAGATGATTGGTTGTCTTTACAACATTTATCAGTATTAACATGGTTATTTTTTCAGCAGCCCTTTTGTATTCCAGTCTAATGCAAATGCTATATCTTCATACACTACATGATTTATATCTGTACAGGCTATTGCTTGCTGTAGTCAAGGAATAGTGTTATAGCTTAAAGTTATTTATTTTCCAATTTTATCAATATTGTAGCCAAGGGGTTCTCAAAATTGTTGATGTCAATGCCCAGGGGTCAGTGAATAACCAGGGTGTTGGTGAATGTTTTTAAATTCTCAGTAATAATTAGTAAAAAATCTGAAGAATATCAGAGTTAGGATTTTAGGGGTATATTAAATCCATAAAGTCCTGTCAGTGTCCTGTTCTGAGCAAAATGAGCATATCAGTACACTATCAGCTCTGTGTTGTCTGGGAACTGATTATTGTGATGAAGTTGAAAAGTGTGTAGTAGACATAATGGCTGTTGTTTCCTTTTCATCATATTGTATTTCAACTATTACTACTACAATTATTACAACTACTACTATAACTAGTACTACAACTAGTACTACTACAAGTAGTACTAATATTACAACTAGTACTAGTACTACTAGTACTATTACAACTAGTACTGCTGCTACTACTATTACAGTTAATACTGTTACTACTACTACTATTATAACTAGTACTACTATGACTACTATTACTACTACTGTTATAACTAGTACTGCCATTACTACTATTACAAGTAGTACTGCTACCACTACAAATAATTCTACTACTACTACTACTACTACTACTACTACTACTACTACTACTACTACTACTACTACTACTACTACTACTACTACTACTACTACTACTACTACTGTTGATTTTACTATCATATTTTTTTTCCTTGAATTAAAAGCTAGGGGTTTGATAGAAAATTTGAAACTCCATTAGAGGTCAACAAGTTTTAAAGTTTGAATCTAAGGCACAGCTCAGGTTGGGAATAGTTAGCATTACCCCCACCCCCCTTCCACTGAATATTTATCCTCAAATTAAAGATAATTATTGATACTACAAAGTGGAATCAAAAAGAGCAATTAAACATACCACAGGTTAAATAACCACACTAGAATATCATATTAATGCAATTTTATCTTTACATTCTAGATAACAAAGGAATACTTCAGTTTGTTCAGTGAGGTAGGAGTTCCTCCCAAAAAGAAGTTGACCAAGTTTCTCATCACTCCTAATGCCAAACTTGCTCCTGGAACTCCGCTGTATGCATCGCACTTCCAGCCTGGAGCATACGTTGACATCGCAGGCATTACGTATGTATGGGAATTGACCTTGGAGGATGCAGCAGACATTTTTCAATAAATGATGAATATGTATGGGAAAACTTGCTTTAATACTTTTTAGTGTCTTTTGGCAATAATTTCCCTTTGTAAAGATGTGTCGGTTATTCGGATTACAACTGGCATATCACAAAGATTGATTTTCCTTCCTTTGTTTGCAGGATAGATCGGGGGTACCAAGGTGTGATGAAGAGATGGGGTTTCAAGGGTATGCCAGCATCCCATGGCGTAACGAAGAGTCACCGCAGGGGAGGAAGCATTGGTTCTGGTAGAGAGAAATCCCGAGTCTGGCCGGGACAAAAGATGCCAGGACATATGGGTAGAAATCGAAGAGTTATTAGAGGGCTGAAGGTGACTAAATTTTTTCCTCTCATTATTTAGATCAATCTACTTATAAATTAGACTATTTGGCAGACATTTTTTTTAATATAAGATTTTGGACAGCTTTCAATAATGAACCTGATTACAGATATGGCGCATCAACACACACTACAATGTCCTCTGGGTGAGTGGGCCTGCAGTACCTGGACCAACAGGTGCATATGTCTATCTGTACGATAGCATCTTGCCTGCTCATCAGCTCCGTCGAGAACAAAATCCTCCACCCTTCCCAACCCTTTTCCAGGATGAGGTTGATATTGATGAAGAATTGTTTGATGAAAATTTACACAATTTTTCACAGCCATCAATTTCCTTTGCAGAGAAATAAGGAGGTAAACTGAAGAATTTTTTTTTATAGTAAAAGGTTAAAATGCTTTACAGTGAATTTCAGCATTGACCTTATTCAAGAATTGTAAATTGTAATGTAAATATTTCTGTACTTGTATGTTAAAGATTAAAATAGAAAATCCAAGCAAAGCATTTTTCATTCACCATACAGAAAATATAAATAATGATAAAACAAAAAATCTGGCTATTCAGAGGAATAAGAACACAGAACAAAATATTATACTGTTTATTGTGTACATGGAATAGTACCTGTACATGGAATAGTACCTGCAATGCAGGGACACAGGATGTATATACACCAACATAATTGGTTTTAAATAATATCAGAATGAATTACATCTTCAAATAAAGCAAATGTGGCCGTCTTTAATCTCGTCAGGTTCAATTTAAAATAAAGTTGTAGGGTGTCGACTTATCTACAGAAATGTACAGAATGGGGGAGGTTACTATCTTTTGCCTGCTTTGTTTATCATATGAGCAAATTTTTATCAAGACTGATTATCAATAAACACTGCAGCAAAGCTTTTAAGTGTTAAGAAAAGCAGTGCAATTCTTTAAATCATGATCACAGCAATGTTAAGCACAAGAAATAACCTTTTTTGAAAAAGTTTAAAATGTGTATGTCCTAACATTGGCTGTATTCTAAACCATTTTCACAGTGATATTTAATTATAAAAAAGTCCCATTTCACACTCCCAATAAATAGATCTAAATCTGAGAACTTTTATATTTATTTGGTGGCATGGTGCATTGCATGAGCCAAGTATTCAACATTACTGGAAGCAATACCAGCAACTGAGATACGTCCATCCTTTGTCAGGTACACAGAAAACTCCTTGGTCAGCTTCTCAACCTGAAAACAGAAAAAATGGGTCATGAAACCAATGAAATAACCTGTCTCTATGCACTGTACTATAATCCACAAATACCCTCCTCCCCTTATGTTCAAATACAATATGAATATTTTTTAAAAACAATGGTGCAGATCAAATTTTTCTGGCATTTTGCATTAGGATATTTAGGGATGAAAACCTAGATTTTTTACCTGGTCTGGGGTCATGCCAGTGAAGCAGAACATGCCAATCTGGTCAGTGATGTGGCTCCAGTCCCGGATGGATCCTTCCTTGGCAAGGTTCTCCTTCAACTTGGTACGCATGTTAATGATCCTGTCGGCCATACCCTTGACGTCCTTCAGCCAAATGGAGCTGTTGACAGTGGGGGGAAAGAACTCTTATTACTTATTCTTTTATAATATGGAATTCTATATAATTCTACAATTCCATGAAAGTGTGAAGTAACGCACACACACATCTATCTCAAAACCCCACCTGACAAAAACTGCAAAACACCAATTCTAAGAAACAAAATACATCTTTAGCCAAATAAATTTGTTCTTACTTGATATGCCATGTCAAAGAAGGGAAGCAGTTCTCTCTCCTTGATAACTTTGCTCATTTCATCCCACTGCTCTGCCTTGGGGTCGACACCGGTGGGGTTATGGGCACACGCGTGAAGCATGATCAAACTACCCTTGGGGATTTTCTGAAATCAAAGAGATATCTTTGGAGAATGGTATATGAAGAAATGTATCAACAGTATAGTAAAATCTGTTAACTTTGAATGCAGTCATTTACTAACTTCTGGCACAAGGTACATGCTAAAATTCACAGCAATGTCCTCAATAATACTCACAGAAATATCCTCAATTGCTCCACTGAAGTCAAATCCGCAGGTCTTTGGGTCGTAATATCTGTACTGCTTGACATCCATATTGACATGTTTGAAGATGGGAACATGGTTGCCCCAGGTTGGTGCTGGCAGCCATACATTCTAGGGGACAAGAAAATGAATTACACACTGAAAGATGGCTTTGATTATAGAGGGGGGGGGGGGGGATTTATATATATTAAACACATCTATATATATAAATAACAAATATAAATAAGTAAATAAAAATAAAGTTTTGAGAATGGTGATTTTATATCAAATATATTATTCTATAACTTTGTATTACCATTAAAAGAAAAAGTACACAAGACATTAAATTCATGGGGAATATAAAACATTTATATTTTCCTTACCATACAAGCCCATATTCTTGGAGAAAGACTGGGAAAGACAGATCTTGTGGCCATCAGCCAAGAACTTGCGCACAGCATAGGCATCCTTGGCTACATCACCTGAAGCAAATCCCTGGAATGGAAAAAGGAGACATTTAATGGCAACATCCCCCAACCCCATCACATGTTGCACAAGTATGTCTTCTTGAGCTCATAAAATACTAATTCTTTTATAATATGGAATTCTATATAATTCTACAATTCCATGAAAGGGTGATGTAACGCACACACACATCTACCTCAAAAAACCCATCTGACAAAAACTGCAAAATACCAATTCTAAGAAACAAAATACATCTTTAGCCAAATAAATTTTTTCTTACTTGATATGCCATGTCAAAGAAGGGAAGCAGTTCTCTCTCCTTGATAACCTTGCTCATTTCATCCCACTGCTCTGCCTTGGGGTCGACACCGGTGGGGTTATGGGCACACGCGTGAAGCATGATCAAACTACCCTTGGGGATTTTCTGAAATCAAAGAGATATCTTTGGAAAATGGTATATGAAGAAATGTATCAACAGTATAGTAAAATCTGTTAACTTTGAATGCAGTCATTTACTAACTTCTGGCACAAGGTACATGCTAAAATTCACAGCAATGTCCTCAATAATACTCACAGAAATATCCTCAATTGCTCCACTGAAGTCAAATCCACAGGTCTTTGGGTCGTAATATCTGTACTGCTTGACATCCATATTGACATGTTTGAAGATGGGAACATGGTTGCCCCAGGTTGGTGCTGGCAGCCATACATTCTAGGGGACAAGAAAATGAATTACACACTGAAAGATGGCTTTGATTATAGAGGGGGGGGGGGGGGATTTATATATATTAAACACATCTATATATATAAATAAATATAGATAAGTAAATAAAAATAAAGTTTTGAGAATGGTGATTTTATATCAAATATATTATTCTATAACTCTGTATTACCATTAAAAGAAAAAGTACACAAGACATTAAATTCATGGGGAATATAAAACATTTATATTTTCCTTACCATACAAGCCCATATTCTTGGAGAAAGACTGGGAAAGACAGATCTTGTGGCCATCAGCCAAGAACTTGCGCACAGCATAGGCATCCTTGGCTACATCACCTGAGGCAAATCCCTGGAATGGAAAAAGGAGACATTTAATGACAACATCCCCCAACCCCATCACATGTTGCACTAGTATGAGCTCATAAAATACTAATTCTTTTATAATATGGAATTCTATATAATTCTACAATTCCATGAAAGTGTGAAGTAACGCACACACACATCTATCTCAAAAACCCCACCTGACAAAAACTGCAAAACACCAATTCTAAGAAACAAAATACATCTTTAGCCAAATAAATTTGTTCTTACTTGATATGCCATGTCAAAGAAGGGAAGCAGTTCTCTCTCCTTGATAACTTTGCTCATTTCATCCCACTGCTCTGCCTTGGGGTCGACACCGGTGGGGTTATGGGCACACGCGTGAAGCATGATCAAACTACCCTTGGGGATTTTCTGAAATCAAAGAGATATCTTTGGAGAATGGTATATGAAGAAATGTATCAACAGTATAGTAAAATCTGTTAACTTTGAATGCAGTCATTTACTAACTTCTGGCACAAGGTACATGCTAAAATTCACAGCAATGTCCTCAATAATACTCACAGAAATATCCTCAATTGCTCCACTGAAGTCAAATCCGCAGGTCTTTGGGTCGTAATATCTGTACTGCTTGACATCCATATTGACATGTTTGAAGATGGGAACATGGTTGCCCCAGGTTGGTGCTGGCAGCCATACATTCTAGGGGACAAGAAAATGAATTACACACTGAAAGATGGCTTTGATTATAGAGGGGGGGGGGGGTGTAGAGGGGAGAGGGAGGCAGGGAGAGAAAAACTGTGGGGGAGGGAGGGAGGCAGGGAGAGAAAAAAGGGGGTGAGAGGGAGGGAGGCAGGGAGAGAAAAAAGGGGGTGAGAAGGAGGGAGGCAGGGAGAGAAAAAAGGGGGTGAGAGGGAGGGAGGCAGGGAGAGAAAAAGTGGAGAGGGGAAAGAGAGGCAGGGATAGAAAAAGTGGGGGGAGAAGGAGGGAGGAAGAGAAAAGATGGGGGAGAGGGGAGGGAGAGAAAAAGGGGGGAGAGGGAGGGAGAGAGATGGAGGGGAGAAGGAAGGAAGGAAGGAAGGAAGGAGGGAGGGAGAGAGATGGAGGGGAGAAGGAAGGAAGGAAGGAAGGAAGGAGGGAGAGAGAGAGATGGGTAGTAGTAGTAAAGAGAAAAAGAAAAAGAAAGGAAATAGAATCCTCGTATGATGAAAGCATAAAACGATATTTATTTTTCAAGAGTTCCAAAATACCACAATAATACAATTAGTCTCTTACCAATATTAATCAAATGCAAAACCACAGAACGTCCTACCTTTGGACCTGGGAAGAACTTCGAGAGGAAGGTGGAGCCAATACGGAGAGCGCCAGTACCAGAAATACCCTGAACTGTTACATTCTGGAAAATCAAACACAGGCAAAAATAAATAAAACAAATTTGTAACTCTCATTGACCTATCCTCAGTGTCTTAGGAAAATATTGGTTTTCCTCCACTATTTACCTTTTGTTTTCCAGTCCTCCAAAACAGTGATAACAAGATAAATATTACATGTACGTTCAACACAATATGTCCAACATAATACAGATTACAAATCATTCTATTAAGCACTTAACACGAGAGCACTTTGAAAACCAACCAGTCCATCGGCAATAGCTGGGCTGTCACTCCCAAGAGCCAAGGTAATAGCATGCTTGCAGAAGTCAGCACTGCCAGAGATGGGCAAGTATTCCTTGTCTAACTTTTGGCTCACAATCAGCTCCTCAGCCTGAAAAGAAAGGAACATTTAAAAAATTATTATGCAAATTGATATGCCTAATTTTGAAGTAAGACTACCATATGAATTCTTCACCCTTATGGATAATAAAGCTGAAAGATTTTTTAAAAGTAATAGTAAAAGAGGGTAAAAAAAGAGGACATGCTACAATTTACAAATATTTATTATTATTACCATTATTATTAAGATTATTATTATTCATTATCATTTCTATTCTATTTATTTTGAGAGGGGGGCAAATACTATAAAATAATGATGAGATTTATCAACAACAATTATTAAAATACAAGAAGCATGGGATTAATTTATAAATCTAAAAATTGGAGTATAGTGTATGCTGTACTAAATGTATTATATCAGCAACAAAAGATTTTAAAAGTTTGACACATTTTAAAATAATAAAGCATATGAAAAGAAAACAACTATCAGTTCAACGACCTTGAATTGCACTGCAAAAAAGAAACGAAAGAAATAAAGAGGAAAACAAAATAAAAACAAATAAATAAACATCAATTTGTCCATCCCTACTCACCATCCTCACAGATGGAAGGACGAAAGGCTTGCCGTTATCGTCACGGTAGGCACCAACCCCAAGATTCATCTTCTTGGGGTTCGTGTCACGCTTGAATGCCTCGGTGACGCCCAAGATGGCATCGGGGGGTCCCATCTCAACCCCAGACCACCAAGAACTGTAAAGAAGGTATTAGTTTAGTTCTCTCTGCTCAAAGAAGGCATGAGAAGTTATACTGTAAAGCAGGCAAAGATTTTTTTTTTTCGGCAACCCCAAGATTCATCTTCTTGGGGTTCGTGTCACGCTTGAATGCCTCGGTGACACCCAAGATGGCATCGGGGGGTCCCATCTCAACCCCAGACCACCAAGAACTGTAAAGAAGGTATTAGTTTAGTTCTCTCTGCTCAAAGAAGGCATGAGAAGTTATACTGTAAAGCAGCATTCAAGTTGTGTTAACCCACAAAGATTTTTCATTCATTGTTTATAAATAGATGGCTCCAACAAGTGCTCTGCTACCAATTAGTGGCTTACTAATTGCACCTGTCTAACCTATTTACCTATATGAGTCTTGAAATATATATATTTTTTAATGCTAATATTACTATTAATAACATTATTTAACAGCCATATAATCAATATTAATACTGCTATTATTGATAATTATAGCATTACAAACTTTTTTTTTCATGAAAAGTCAAGGAAAGGGGAAATCAGATGATGTCACACAGGTATATTCATTGTCTACTTGTTGGCTAAACACTTACAGAGCCATCCCAGAGTTAAGACTAGCAAAACAATACTACGGTGGACATCACACGTTTCCAGTGGCAATGGGTTAATGGAAAGACAGGTAGTTAAGTCTTTGTCCCTTTGATATCACTAAATATGAGGCCTGTTATTTGCTCAAATGATTGTACCTTCATCATTAATATTTCATGTACAGTACAGAGCCTGCCAAGCTAATCAACATGTAGCTGATGTGCAACATGGCAATTTAATATTGCATCACAATCCTACAAGAGATGCCAAGTTTTTTTTTTTCACATAGCTATCTAATCTTTCATTTTTTATTCCTTCTTTCAATTATCCACACTGTAATATGCATGAATCTCTTGCTATTTTCCATCGCAAATGATCTAAATAAAAGTATTGGTAAGGTTTATGAAGTGACCTTACCCCTCTGAAATGAAGCTCTTTTACTCCTACCCTTCCTGGTAAATCCACAGACATCACTGTATGAACCAAAATCACCCCTAGACACCCATTCGATCACTGTATTTCCCTATTTGGGGCTCTGTCCCAGGACCCACACCCAGTTGTGGAGTTATAGCCTGCATTTACATTTTCCTGTAAATGTATATCAAAGTATTACAGGTTTCGTCATTTATTTTACTATCAACTTACTATAAGTAATACCATAGATGAAAAGTGTCTTGTTTTCAGCCATACTGTTCATTAAAGGTAAATTCTACCTTCTATTGCATGGCTGTGGGAAACAAACTATACCGGGGTCTTTTCCTCGTAATAAACGGCTGAGGGAAACAAACTCTTCCCTTATTACGTAACCGGGTTGTTGGCACTACTGAGGACTCGTTTATAGCAGCCACACAGCAGAGCCAATAAACAGTTGGCAATTAGAAAAGGAAATGTGCAAAACAATCTGTTTCAGTGTCATATCTTGCAAGACCGGCGTATCTGCAACACATCAGGGAAACCTCTTTGTTTCGACCTTTACCGGCATGTAGCGGTGGGAATTTTCCATTTGCAATGAAGACCCAAGTTAGGGAAGCTAGAGAACGGTGTTAGACATTCCTATCGATCGAAAAAATAAAACATATTTGGTTTGGAAGTTCAAGAAGTCATGACAATGACATATCACACGCAATGACTGACAACCTGCATTGCCCCGAGAACACATTGCTTGAAATGTGCAACTCACAGCTTAAAAAAAATCGATTCTCTCCTCTCCCCCTTTATGACAACCTATTTACCTGCCCTTCTCGTTGCACGCCAAGGGGCTCTCCTCTCTGCAACATAGGCCTAGTACTACAGGTGCGTAATTGTGGCTAAATCAACCGTATTTATATAGACGACCTCCTCACGCCCTTGGGATCGATGTTGAAGCCGGTTTTTCTCGAACCTTTTTCGTTTCTATTTCGGCAATAAGTTTCCGAAGTTAATATCTTACCTGGCCCTCGAGCAGACATGTTGGATCGAGGCCTGGTTTTGTCTGACGAGGTTGAGCGTACGGGGTCCTGCGACGGCCATTTCGGGAAGGACGAAGGTATTTCCTCGGCAATTGGCAAAGCGAAGCGTCTTCCCACCGCGAGATCTCGGCGGCCTCTGAGGCTCTCGGCGGCGCGATGGCAACACTGCTCCTCCTGCCGCGCGCTGCCAAGTGTCGCCCGAAGGAACATCTCGCTGCTATTTTTACAATGTCCTGTCATATCCTGTCATTTGCGCTTTTGTTGAATGGTTGCCGATTTCCAGTTCATATGTCGACGGCAAAAATAACAGGAGCTCGTTTTCTTCCCGGTATCAATGGGCTCGTGACTCACACGTGATCAGCTCTCACCGTGTGATGACGCAACCGCACTTCTGAGACGTGATTGGTCGCCGGTCTCAATCGCACACGCACAATTGCAATGTGTACGTGTATATATTATTGCGTGTGCATTGCTATTGTGTATGCATGTAGAAGTATAGTCTGGATTTTAGGAAAAAAAGGGGGGGGGTGAAAGTAAATGGCTTAGGTTTCCTAGGTTTCAGAGATAGGGAGTCTATAAATATGCTCCACGGTACTTGAATTGGCTAAACTTTTTGCGTTCTACCAATTACTTAATATCACTGGTGAACAAGCATGCCATTTTGTTCGGCACTCAACACGAAGTTGAAATTTCACAAATCTCTCTGACTCCTGGAGTGACATGTCTAGACTTTTTGAATGGTGGCCCTAGTATGGCACTAACTTCTACATGCTGGCAGGTTATACAGTCGGACGCGCGTATCTACGTTCTCACATACACGCGGGCGAGCACACACACACACACACACACACACACACACACACACACACACACACACACACACACACACACACACACACACACACACACAACACACACACACACACAACACACACACACACACACACACACACACACACACACACACACACACGAAAAAACATTGACATAGTATTAATTGACGAATTTTGCCTCTAGTACCATAGTCTCTATATACCAACACAAGTGTCTCCTCCACCTGGACAGAAAGCCAATCATGGTTCAGGGAAATGGTGTGGCCCCTGGAATGGCCAATCAGCTTGTAGGGGTAACATGTGACGCCCTAGGCCATTCTGTGGACACGCCCCTATCCTCCCCTTTTTCTCTGCCTCTGTCCACCTGTCTATTCTACTCTCTTTCTGTCTCCCGTCTTAAAATTCGTCTTTTTACTCATCTCTTCGTTTCCTTCCCCCCTCCTCTCTCTCACCACACACACACACACACACACACACACACACACACACACACACACACACACACACACACACACACACACACACACACACACACACATCTGTGAGAGACAGAGACAGACAGACAGACACATCTGTGTCTGTCTGTCTGTCTCAGTATCTCTCTACCTTCACTATACACCTGAACCTATTTCCTTTAGAGCGAAGTCGTTCATTTGAATGCTCAGAAGCTAGCAGCACTTGCCTTTGGTACGTTATCCGGTGACCGTATCCTGCTCGCTCGGTTAGGTTAATCCGACAGTCCTTTGGGAGAATTTATGATAAAAGCCTCACTGCCTCGTTGGCTTTGTAAATCTCATCGGTTTTAAGAGTGAAGCGAATACCTTTTCTCTTTGGCTGCAGGGTTTGCTGGCATTAGAGGGTAAGTCATATCTGAGAAGTGATCATTTCCTGAGTGATATCGTTAACGAAACCGACACGCCAAGACAAATCCAGTTTGCGTTTCTAGCCAAGGAACTTTAATCAACTTAAGATAGACGATAGAATCTAAATTGGGTGAATTCTACGGGAAATTAGCTTACATTTTCATCTACAAAACAGCCATATGATCTTGGCAAAACCCTTTCTACAAATGCTTTATTATGTGTACAAAAGTGCTAACAAAATATACATCACACCTTCACACAAACACACATCCATTGCTCGGGATAACAAACAAGCAAAATACATCTACTCAGTGTTAAAGGAATACTCGGTATGTGTAATAGTAATAGTACTACTGCTTCTACCACCCTTATAACAAATACTACTAATATTGATAGTAATGAAAAAAGGATGTCGACCGTCATAATACTGATAGATAATGATGACAAGAGAGGAGACAAATAATAATAATAATATAATAATAATAATAATAAACAGCAATAATAAGGGTAACAACAATATCTCAACAGTTAACAGGTTTCAGTTCCAAAGCTATCAGGATACGAAAAAGGTCCGAGATATCTAAGGTACTTTTCCATGACTGTCAAATTTATTAATTGCCAGTCATTGATTAGGGAATTGTGGTGGCGCATTAGTTGTCAAATTATTAACTGGTAATAGAATTAATTCGAACTTGATATTAACAAATCATTAACAACCAAACGAATCAAATAATGCTTAATATCGGCGAATAAACTGTCAAATAATCAAAAGTCAAAAATTTTAATTCGAACTTAGTATTGGTGAATTAGCTGTAAATTTCTCAATTGTCAAACGGCTGTATGTCAAATAAATCACTGTTAAAAGCTTCAAATGTGTCAGATCATTAACTGTCAAAGTCATCTAGTGCCAAATCATCAACTGCCAAAGGCAAAATTTCAAGCTTAATTTTTATAAAAGTGTTAAAATCCTCTATTTCTTAAACTGAATTTAATCATAGCGAAAGAAAAGAGGGTAAACATTAAAAAAATAAAATTAAATGGATCCTCACACACAGAAAACGAGGAATAACAGAAAAAAAAAAACAAAAAAAAAAAAAAAAAAATATATATATATATATATATATATGAGAGAGAGAGAGAGAGAGAGAGAGAGAGAGAGAGAGAGAGAGAGAGAGAGAGAGAGAGAGAAATAGAGAAAGAGAGAGAGAAATAGAGATAGAGAGAGAGAGACAGACAGACAGAGAGAGAGACAGAGACAGAAAGAGATAGATAGATAGATAGATAGAGAGAGAGAGAGATCACCAATAAACAAACATTTATACTGAGACTGTCATCTTTTTCAGTTTCAGATTCATAGAAAGATCCATTTATTCTCATTCACAATAATCGAAAGTGTCTTTGGAGTTACGCGTATCGAGTTTCTCTTGTTACTTGCGGGTCTCTTGCAACAACCCTCTCGCTTTCTCTCTCTTTCTATCGTTCTTTCTTTACGAGGGATGATGATAGCCATAATAATGATGGGTATAATATGGATGATGATAATGATAACGGGAATAACAATGATGATAACAATAAAGGTAATAATAATGATAATAATGATAACGGTAATAACAATGATGATAACAATAACTAATGTGATGATAATAATGGCAATGTTGATATTAGTGATAATAATATTTGTAATGATAGTGATGGTAATGATAATAATTTGGTGATGATTATGTTGAAGAGATTAATAATAACAATGATGATACAAATAATAATAATAATGATGGTAATATTAACGAGAGTGATAATAATGTGAAATATAATAATATTGATAATGATAATAATAATAATGATACCAATAATGATAATAATAGTAATAATAACAATAATGATAATGATAATAATAATGATACCAGTGATGATCATAACAACAGTAAAAAGTAATTATGATAATCACAATGAAAATAATGATGATAATAGTAATGATAATGATAATAATAAGAAAAGTAATGATAATAATAATAGTGTTGATAATGATAATTTATATTTTTTATTATTTTTATCATTAATAATGTTAATAATAATGAAAGTAATAATGATTATATAAAAAAGAACGAGAATTATTAATAATAATAATGATAATAATAATAGTAATAAAAAAATAATGATATTAATAGTGATAATGAATATTGATGATAATAATGAAATAATAATAATGATAATAATAGCATTAATAATAATACCAACAATATTAATAATATTGATAACAATAATAAGGATAAAAGGATGATAATGATGATAATACAAATAATGATAACAATAATAATCTTAATAATAATATTCATGATAATGAGTATCATTATCATAATTAATATTGTTCTCATTAGTATTAGCATTGTGATAATAATCATTACTATAATTATTATTATTATTGTTATCATTATTATTATCATTATTGCTATAATAATGATGATGATGTTAATGATAATAATAATGATAATAACAATGATAATAACAATATTGTTGATAATGATAATGATCGTGACAATAATGATAATGCCAAGAATAACAGCAGCAACAACAACAATGAGTATTATTGATAAAAAATATTTATATTTATTCTTTATCAGCAATATATACATTAAACAGTCAACAGAGAATGCAATCGGTAAGCTACAACCTTTTATAACGGTTAAAACACACAACGGTACCACGTTCATACGCAGACAAAAAATCAAACAGACAGCCCACTGCCCACATACTCAAACTGTTGCATTGTGTAAGTCTTTCCGCTTATGTCCGTGGCTCCAGACTGGCAAGATCTTCCTTAATTCTTGATATGTGTTATAGCGAGATATATGTAAGGCTGGTATCTAGGGCGAAAGGAGTTTCAAAGGAGTGGCAGTGTTTGCGCATGTGCAGGTGGTGGTTTTGTGAAGTGTTTGTGTTTGTTGTTTGTTACGGTTTGTATTGTTGATTTTGTTTGTGCTGTAGCATGTGCCTAACACCTTGACATTGAATAATAGTTTCTTTTCAATGGATAGTTTCCTCACCACCAGAAACCTATGAATTCTGTAGCTGTAAAACTGACCTAAATCGACCACCCCATTGCTTGTGTCTGCATGCGTTTACTCTCACTTCCTCTACCCATTCTTTCCTCTTCGTTTCTCTTTTCTTGCGCATTTCTCCTTGCTTTCTTAAGTAATTCCTTATCCTCTGCATACTTATGATTTCGAAACTGTGATCTCACCTTTTTTTCTACTTTTTCAACTTTTTTTCCTTTTTTTTTATTTTGCGCTGTTATCTCCGAAGCGATTGGTCTCTTCGCTCCCATACGCAAATAAGTTACATAATCTTGAGTGTTGGCATTCTTAATCATATCACTCCAGATAATACGTACGGCGTGGAAATTCCCTTTTTTAGAACGCTTATATTAAATGTATGGTTTTAAGAACACATTTTACGT